CTATTAACAAGGACTCCTAAATGCCTCATCACATATTATTTAATAATTTGAGACTCATTTTGTGTTCTATTCATTGAGAAGCTAGTTTAGGACCAGCAGCTAAGTTAGCAAGTGACCCAGCAAGCTGCTCAACGGTGACAATTCGATGCTGTATTGTTGTCTTATACGTCCCGTCCCATATGCAGTAATTCAATTCTCCTTCAGCAATATGACCATAAAACTCAAGCACCAATTAAACTGTGGTGTGAAAAATATGCATCAAAATCAGGTGATTTGGTGGAAAAGTGGTTTGAGAAGAAAATCAAACAGCTGTAGTCACTATTACACATTTACACCTTAGTGATTTCAGTATATCCCTCACAATGTCAAATTACTACTGTACTTTGAATGTGGGAAACACTGCATTCATGACTTAAAAGGGAAGGGCTGGGTATTAAGATAATCTTTGATTCAAAAGGAATTGAAGTACTAGAATTTCAGAGCCTAAAGTTTCAACCAGAGCAGTTTCTTCCACGCATTCTGCAGGAATTCCCTCAATCTTCATTGCATTTATAACAAGAGACCTGACAGAGCTTTCTATGTGGACACATCGGGAGAGAGGATGATTTGATCACTGCCATCCAATAGTAGCTTTTCTAGAGGCACCAATTAAACAGCAATTAGTGTACTGAAAGAATGTGGCCTATTCAACTGGATTTTTACGAACACCACTTGCTCACACCTGCATAAACCACTTTGGATACAAATATGCACTGTAGGATATTATTCTTGGACCATACCATCCTCTCTCAAAGCAGCTTCCTTAGGTTCTGCTGAAAAATTTTGAGGTCTATTAGGAAAACATGTGAAACACTGAACACATTCATTCACTTAAAAAATAATAAAATGTTCATTGAGTTGAATAATGGACTCTTATTCCAAAGCACATCTCCCTTCCTAGCAGCATGCTAGGTGGCCTTTGAAGTGTATTAGAATTTCTTGCAAAAATGGAGGGAAGCTCTACCAAAAGAGAAAGGTTATATCTTGCTACGAATTATATTAGATTTTTATGTGTGTGTGTGTGTGTGTGTGTATAAAATATGATGTAATTTTATATTATATATATTATATAAAATTCCAGTACAGATATATGTCTGTACTGGAATGTACATTTGGTCAGCAAGGTTTATGGGTAGTGTGATGAACACAACTTCTATACTGGGAAAAAATGTGTCTTAGATTCAGTGTTTCATAGAAATAAGGGCTTCATCTGGCCTAAATCTAAAAGGACTTGTGGTCTGTGATGTTCAAAGAATGGTGCCTGAGTGCCTGATCTCCTGAAGATGAACAGTGTATAGTAAAGAATTATCTAAATTCTGACTGGCTTTGTAGGCAATGCAAATGAAGGTAATAACCCACTACTATATATATGTGCACATACATAGTATATATACACACATATGCATATATGTATATCCCCATACATACACACATGTAGACATATATGAACATTTTATTATTTTTTTAAGTGAATGAATGTGTTCAGTGTTTCACGTTTTCCTAATAGACCTCAAAATTTTTCAGCAGAACTTAAGGAAGCTGCTTTGAGAAAGGATGGTATGGTCCACATATATATACATACATAAATAAATTTTATACGTAACAAAGCACGTCTATCCACAAAAAAATGCTTCATGTTTTCAACTGAGTATAAAGTGAAAGAAATGTAAATTATGTATTATGGTCACAAAATCATTTGTGTACATCTAAAAGATATCCACAGTGATACTGACGGTCAATTCCAGAATGCTTATCCTAAATGGAACCTGTTATTCTCACCTTGATAGAAGAGCAAATAAATTGTATGTTTCAACATCTCTAATAGGATTGCAGTTCTTAGAGATTTAGTTTTATAGCCTCTTGTGAAAAGTCCTTCTTATTTCTGAACTTTAGTGGTATAAAATAGTAGATCAGTTCAAGTAGTTTAAAATGGACATTTATTTTGCATACCAAGTGGAACTACAGTGGGCTGATAAAATGGCTTCATTTTTCTACTCTGTTGTTATTTTGGTTACGGATCCTATTTTCTATTGTCACCTGAATTTTGGGATATTTTTTTCACTTGTCCTAGTAAAATAACAAAACGGTTTCATGGTTTTTATACACTTACTGTCTCACTTTCTATACAGAAAATAAAGGAAATCAATATTTAAAAGTGACAGTAATTTCATCTTCTAAGCACTGGCGTAAATGCAATTTGGGTAATGAAAGCAAATGCACAGGACCATGAAGGCCAGAAGTTAGAACATAAAACTAAAAACACTTTCAAAACTAGAAAAAGTCAAATTAACTCTGATCCATTTTTCTTAATGTCTTGAAACTACAGCCACTGATATTACTGAAGATTTCAGAAAATAGACCCACATAGAGAGTCCAATAACTATGAATTATAGCTTTGCGAAATATTGACTCTATAGTCAATATCTCATCTCAGATTTATAATAATTATCACATACTCACCATAAATACTGTTCTTATCTAAGGAATGATTCACATATTAAACCTGGGTATTCACATCAAGACCAAATATATGTAATTTCGAGTTGTGGGACTGGAAATACATGGCTCACAGTTTGGGATTACAGAATAAGTCTCTTTTTGGCCCAGATCACAATTTGAATGAATGAGTCAGAAATGCTTTGGTAGATATTTGACTTTATAAGTTCACAAAAACTCAAAAAAAGTTGTGTGTTCTGCACTAAAATTTCTATGCCAGTGGTTCTCAAAGTGTTGCCCAGGGACTTCTGTGGTCTCCTAAACACTTTTGAGAGGTCTGTAAGGTCAAACTATTTTCACAATAATATTAGATATTATTTGCCCTTTACACTCTCATTGTGTCAAGAGGGTACAGTGAAGTTTTCTTGAGGCTAAATGATAGGCGATGACATCATCGCTTTGACAGCTAATAGAATGTATGCTTGTATTCCTCTATTTAATCGATTTCTCAGTTTTGATTTTTTAATATGGAAAATAATAGTAATACACATAAACCAAAGCCCTTTGTGGTCCTCAAAAATTTCTCAGAATGTAAAGGCATCGGAGATCAAGGAGTCTGTGATTGGTCTATGCTAATTGTAGAAAAGGGTGAATACTATATGTTCCACATGGAATAAAACCCGAAAATACATCACTGTAAAGAAACCTGGAATCTTGAAGGATGCAATTAATTGCTTAATTTTGTCTGCTCTACAATGGGTCAGAGGCCACTACTGCTATAGTGTTGGGTTCTTTTAATGAAAGACATTGAAGGTACCACCAGGTGAGAATCTACTAATACAGGACAAAAGTAGAAGTTTGCCGCAAACATTCGTGCTTTCAAGAACATTAGATAGGAATCAGTCTCTACAGAAACTCTATAGCTTTGATTTTAAACTATTACTTAATTCTGCCTCACAGTTTACATACTAATTAACAGTTATCACTATGTGTTTTGACCATATCCTTTATAGATTCACAAAACCAAAATGACTTATGCTTTGACACCTATGCAATAAAAATGTCATTTTTTTCAAACAGAAATTTAGATTATTTTAAGAAGGTGTATTTTTAAACAATAGTCTAACTTGGCCTATCTTCTATATGCAATTCATGAACAGATGTGACAGAATAGCGTTTTTAAAAGTGATACAAGGTAAGACAGCAACTTTAATTTGGATCCACTGACACATTATGACAACTAAATGGGCTCATCCGTTCTTTCTTATATTTTGTATTTCATCTCCTTCACTTACTATTTGTTCACTTTTAGAATGGTAACTGAGAAGATAAACTGCAAATTCCTTAGTTTGACACATAACTCACCTAAATTTCATTTCATCGGACCCCAGGGAAGTACAAAGTTGCCCCAGGACCCAATATGGATGGAATCTGAGGAGTGGGTGGGCTCCAAGTCCCTCAGCCTTGCCTCTGCCAGATCAACCAGATCAGATCTTCTATTTGGTCCAGGGATTCAGTGTGAAAATTAACTGCAACCCTCATTTTAGGCGAAATATTTGTGTTGTTAATAATAATACTCAGAATAATTTTCAGTTTGATTCTATTCTCCTCCACAGGAACCAACAAGCTCAAACAAAAGGCATGTTACTCAGATCATTTAATAAGAAAAATAAGGATAAGACATTATACCCATGTTCCAGGTGAAGTAACATTAAAAACTAAGTTATTTTCCTTTTATAATAAGTGATATTTTTGGAACAGAATCCAGGTCTCTGACTCACTTTTTTTTTTAAACTAGCAGTCTGTAGCTAAGAATAAGAATAACCAAATCTTCCATTTTACAGTTTATATCTTATCTCCATACCCATCATTTCATTTTCACTGTATAACAGCCCTGAAAGTGTGGTGTTTATTATTTCTTCTTATCTGGGGTTCAGGCAACTTATAAGTCCAAGGTTAGTTACACATCAAGCAAGTGGAACCCTCAAGGCTAGATTTAATGTCTTTGGGTGCAAAATTTTCAACTATAAGGCTTTGGTTAAGTAATAATTATTCAATTGCATTAAATGGATGATACACATACTGGACAAGAGTACGGTTTCTTTAGTTTCTTCCCCTCTCCCTTCCAATTTTAAGCCCCTCAGGACAACAATAACCTGGACATCCACCCAGCTTGGAGCCCAGTGGGAACAGAGCATGAATAAAACAGGATTTGGGAGAATGAGTCATGACAAGCAAGGTGAATGATCCCACAGTCCAATAAACCTGACCCCTAAGTCTATCACACTGGGTCAGAAGGTCCAATTATAGGTCTGTTCTAGTTCTTTTTATGATTGACAGCAGCCAGAGGCAAAATTACTTTGGTGTCTATTAATCCAGGCTCTAATTTTCCCTTTGCCCCAATACACACAAAGCATCATGGTGGCCCAGGGTGAGTGATACTGTGAATCCAGATTTAAAATGCCCCTGTTTCCTTTAAGAATAGCAACTGAGTTCAATCCTGGTCCTCCTCATGAGGACATTACCTGCAGCTCTGTTTGGAAGAAAAACTTCTGTGGACATTGTGTACAGTCATAGATCTTGTCTTCTTGTCCATGGGCAGAGAAAATATGCTGCTGCAACTTGTTTGCTTGAACAAATACTGAAATGATAAAAGAACGGTGAACTTGGGTTATTTTGTTTCCGAAATGCCCTTAGTCGATGACTCTGCGTGAACAGACAGCAGGCCGGACCGCACGCCTCCCAGGTGTGACTTACTGCTCAAGACCTGGGGAGAGCTGAGTCACATTTGTTCACGGTTGGGTCTCTGACTTTTGTTAAGATGCACTCTACGGAGCTCCTAATTCAACCCAAACAGCTCCAAAGTAAAGGTTTATGGAGGCCCTGCTCCCTATAAATCTTTAAAAAATAAAGCTGAAAATTGTCAAATGCATAGCTCTGTCTCAACAGAAATGACTCCTATTTCTCAGCAACCCACAGGTTAAGAAATCATAGATGCCAAAACCCTGTTTATTGTGTTTGCCTAAAGTTATAGCTAGCAAACAGTTCTCTATTTAAATGTGTTAATGCTAAAAATCATATCCCACAGCTACTCTGGGGCACTGTCTATAAATGTGAAACAGAACGGCAGGTAAATTCTCTTTGGATACTTTAAAATCAACTCAGCCTATACACTGAATGCAACGGTTTCAATAATATAAACATGTTCAATTTTAATGACTACAAAACAAGGCCCTAAGACTGTGTAACAGTTTACCTAGGAGACATACTATTAATAATTAAATTGTATATGCCAGAGGCAGTGTTTGGGTTGGCAGAACTGACTTCTGATGGATGCCTCGTGCACTGTGACCTAAAAAAGTTTGCATCTACAATATTAAACTGTATAGGCAGGGAAAGGATTTATTAAAGATGTTGGCATTTGACTTTAACTCCACTCTAATCATTAAAATTATTCTAATTGCCAGCCGACCTAAAATATTAGAATATTGTTCTTGTGAGTCATACATTTTAATCACATTTCTCATTACCTTAAAAAACTGCTCAGATTTCCTTTCCTACCTAACACACTTTATATTGGAAAGGTTTTTTAAAAAATTGTTACTTCTAAATTACTTCAAGATACACTAAAACAATTCAGGTCTGTCTGCACAGAAAATGCAGACTGTGCATGATTAATGCATTTTTGTCTCTTTATCCCTATCAACAAGAAGAAATGAGATTTTTACAAAGATTTGCAGTTAATCTGCATATAACTCACTACATTTTATGAGGCTTCTGGCTACAACATGAAAGTCCTGTTTTATTAGGGGTCTTAATCGTGAGGAGACCTATGACCCAGTCCTCCTTTATGAAGACTTATTATGAGCTTTTATAAAGAACCCAGACTCTTGACTTGTTGTATCTTAAGATACATACTACTCACGGTAAAAACATAACAATACATATTTTTAAGTGTAAGTCTGGAAGAATAAAAGGAGTTCTAAAAGAAGGATGGAGAGTGGCTGATGGAATTATTGAATGAAGCAGCCAAACAGGCAACTGCTGAGGGCAGGGCCATCAATGTACTCAGATAGTAACAGTGCCAGCTGTGCAATGAACATGGTCCCTCCTTCATTCTATCACAGAACAGAAATCTATACGCTGAGTTCAGTGAAGGTAAATAATCAATGCTTGGAATTTTGCTCTACAAACAAAGAAGTCAATTTTGAGAGAAGGATATATTCCCCCTCCTCCAAGAAGTAAAAAGGCAACACAGCCTTGAGGGGCTTAATCCCTGAGTCCAAGACACATGCAAAATAATCACAAAGGATTTTCCAAAATAACTTTGTCATTGTTAGGGGAATACCAGAAATGAGTACGATCATATTTCAACCCCCATTGGCTTCAAATGAGAGTTGCAGATTTACTTTTTTTTTCCTGCTAATACCTGTAATGCTATCATATCTGTTAAAAAGTTTCTTCTTAAAAGTGTAAATGTAGATCAACTTCTACTCTAAAAATCCAATTTCATAGGCAATAAATGATTCATCTAATCTGTTTTTTATCTCAGAGAACTTGGGGTGAGTATTTATTTATTTATTTAGAAATGGAGTTTCCCTCTTGTTGCCCAGACTGGAGTGCAGTGGCGTGATCTCAGCTCACCGCAACCTCTGCCTTCCGGATTCAAGCGATTCTCCTGCCTCAGCCTCCCAAGTAGCTGGGACTGCAGGTGCCTGCCACCACGCCTGGGTAATTTTGTATTTTTAGTAGAGATGGGGTTTCTCCATGTTGGTCAGGCTGGTCTCAAACTCCTGACCTCAAGTGATCCACCCACCTCAGCCTCCCAAAGTGCTAGGATTACAGGCGTGAGCCACCGCACCCGGCATGGGGAGAGTTTTACCCCATCTTTTTATTTCTGGTGGAGAATGTTATGAAATTCTCCATGTTTAAGTAGCAGACATGCACTGACAATACAGCTGCACTTTTAGCTGAACATCTTATGATTAAAAAGCAGCTCTGTGCAGGCAGCCTTAGCCTTGGTAACCTTTTAACATCGAGAGGAAAAAAAAGTGAACACATCATGTATGTAGTTTTCCAAACGGAAAAGTGCAAACTTCTGAGAGAACTTGAAATGCCATTTGTTCATCCTGACAGTTAACCTTCCTGCTCGTGTGAGCCTTTAAGTATGCTGCAATCAATAATGCTAATAAAGCAGAAATCAAACATCTTTCCCCCAAATTGAACTGAAGTCATATCTGTAAAAGGCCATAGCAGTGGGAAGTAATGTTCTGGTAGGAAAGACATGATGAGGCCATCAACCTCTCCTGGGTCTTCCTGAAATAATCTTCCCACCTGTAAAGCAGACTGGACACTTAAAGGTTCCTCCCATCCCTTCGAAGCTGTGCTCTATCAGGTGGCACTGAAGTTTGGCAGGAGAGTCAAAGGTCTGGCTGCAGAGTTTGCATTCATGGTTCAGTCCTTCATCTGTTGAGAAAAATACATGAATAGAAATGGTGAAAATCTGCCATCTCTTTAATAGACTAGAGAGTTATCTATAATTGCATATATTAAACTATTTCCATCACCTAATATACATATGTAGTAGAATATACGGTTTCTGGTTATTTCACATTATTCATGAGTTTATATCAATTTAAAACATTTCTGGAATTTAAAAACCAAAGATAATCAGAAGTCAGATTTTATCTTAAGGCTAATCCATTTTATTAAACTTTAAAAATATAATTGGATATCAATAAGGAGGCATTTCCTTTTCTCTGATTACCATGATTTTCTGGGTGCTGTATTTCCAGTCCTAAAATAAAAAGTGTGGACAGCTTCTTCCTCAGTGATTCTCCTCTGGCTTATCTAGAAGGTCCTAGAAGTGTCCATGTGTAACCATAGGTTTTCAGTGGTATTTCAGTTGATACAAGCTTTCTTTTTCGATTTCCAAGGATTTCTGGCAATTTTGAAGTATCATCAATAGGACAGTCTTACAAATGCCCTTTTCTCTGCTTCTCACCTCCAGTCTCCCATAGTCTTCCTAGTTCATCACTCCCTAAACTCTTTAAGACAGTTTCAATTTTACCCGCAGAACCAGACTCTGCCTGTTTCTCCAAAGCACTTTTGTGACCTCCCGGCTCACTTGGCTAGTCCTGCATTCTTCTCGGGTATCTTAAGAACTAGACGGTGGAAAAATAATTCGATGTCATAACACTGCTATATAAAGTGGGGAGGGCTGGGTGTGGTGACTCAGGACTCTAATCCCAGCACTTTGGGAAGCCGAGGCGGGCAGATCATGAGGTCAGGAATGAGACCAGCCTGACCAAATGGTGAAACCCCATTTCTACTAGAAATACAAAAATTAGCCAGGCATGATGTCGGCATGCACCCATAATCCCAGCTATTCAGGAGGCTGAGGCAGGAGGATCGCTTGAACCTGGGAGGTGGAGGTTGCAGCAAGCTGAGATGGCACCATTGCATTCCAGTCTGGTGACAGAGCAAGACTCCATCTCAAATAAATAAATAAATAAATAAATAAATAAATAAATAAATAAAATAAAGTGGAGAGCATGTGTTATACATGGACATGTTATTTTAAACATTTATGGATTTTAAACATTTAAAATTAAAATTTAAAAATTTAAATAAGTTTAAAATGTAAGTTAGGACTATCCTAATTTACTTTATTGTGCAATTCTAAGACATGAAAAACCAGCGGTACTGGTTAGCAGCCTAGCTGACACTTAACTTAGTGTTGCTGTGTTTCAGAACCGCACAGATACAAATTCATTTAATTGTACTAAAACCCCATTAGAAAAGCTACTATTAGTCTCATTTTACAGATGAGAAAAATGAGGTGTGGAGAGTTTAAGTAACTTTGCTGTGAGTCACAAGGACTCATAATTGGAGAGCCAGAACTTGAACGCGGGCAGTCTCCATACAAACCTGGGCAGTCTGGCCTCAGGGTCTGTGATCTTAATAGATATGGTGGGGCACACACCCACCACTTCCAAGACTGCTTATTAAAAGGCAGAGGCGGCACTTTAACTTGGCTTGTTATCACATTATACTTTTATATTCTCCTGTTTGCAATGATTAAAAAATGCTGCTAAGATATTCTAGGTCTAGGGAATAAAAGACACCATCACACTTTAAAAGCGAAACAAGTCTATACTGCAGTTATTTTCTTTCATTCAAAGACAACATGCATGTGTAAGTCCTGCGCCAGCTGATATTACTGGCAACACCAAGGCCCAATTACAAAGTGAGTTATTATTAGCTAACTAGGAGTAAAATCACTCTATTTGTATTCCTAATCTTTCTTCACATACAAGTATGAGTCTTTAGAAGCAGAGGATTGGAATTTGTAAAAAGAGAAGCAAAGCACTAATTAAGCCACCCAGTACTGTCTACATTTCACAAGAGATAAAAACCTACTCTGTATCTGGGTGGCACAGTAAATTCCTTGATTATAATTATGTAAGAGGGAGTTTAATTGTGCATACTGACATGACAAGGGGTTATACAAAAAGCTTTAGGGATTATATAAGATCAAGGGGTTTTCATCTGTTTCTTTCTTTCTTTTTTTTAAATCCTGAAGTCACCAAAAAATTTCCAGATTTTAGACATTAAGACATATGAAAAACAGAATTTATTGTAAGAAATTGAATTGGCAAGTTAATCTTCAGAAATACCTGCTAAATTTAAAAGCTCTCTATTTCCTTAATGCTACATACCTTTATTTTGAATAGTAAGAAGGTTACTAACGGTTTTCATCTACTTTTAAAATTATGTGTGCTTTGCACAAGAAACAAGAGGTGGCCTATGGACATTGGTTGATATACACTTGTTCTGGAATTTTAAAACTTGCAATAGTTGTCAAGTAACGTGATAGATCTGGCAGGTTTTCCTGGGAATAGCAATTGTCACATGAGCATAAAGTGAATTATGCAAGTTAGGATGCTCTTTAATGTAGTATTATCTTTCTCGACTATGAGTATTTTGTTTGGAAAAATAAGAGAAGGAAAAATAATTGAGATATACGAGTGCCGGGAAAATGTACTCATTCATGTTTATGTATTTCTTACCCAAATAAAAGAGCAGTTGCATCCCAAAATGTTAAATAACCCAAATTCAGTCAAGTGAATTCACAAAAAGGCGACACACAGGCATAAAGGTATTTATACATTACTAGCGCAGACTTATTTTCTACATATTCTATCTTTTATTTGTGAAAGCACCAAGTGACAGCAATGATAACAATCACATCTAGCATTTTCAGAGCTCTTTTTACAGCCTAAAAGCACATTGTAATGCTAAAAAATTGTTGAAGTTCTACCTGCCTTTTATTTGCAAGTTACACCGGGAGGTCTTTCCCAATAAACTGACCTCCTAGTTATTTCCGTAGGAAAGAAAATATATCTGAATTGTTACACAGCACATTAAAAGATAAGCAAAAGCCAATATGCTCTTAGGTAGACGGCGAGTCCCCCCTTTTCTCTCACCTTTGTTCATTTCCCTACTCCCTTCACCTGTCTTCATGCTTGCTTATTACCTCAAGGTCAAATGTATAATGAGAAGGACAGACAGTAACACAAAACATTCTAACAACTGGTTAATATAATTCATTTTGTATTTTTTTAAAATTGAGGGCAGCACAGGTAGTAACAGAAAAAGAAACTTATTTATAATAAAAATTCCAAAAGTTTATCCTTATTCAAAGTCTTTAACTCTTCTCTGCTATTTCTATATTTACCTTTGTATGGCTGAGAACAATGTCTTAACTTTTCAAAGAATTTCTGAAAACCCTTAGAATTGGGGAGATCTGGCTGAATTAAGCCCCATTTCTTTTTCTCCCTATCTGGTATAAGGTAAAAGAGCAGTAAATGTAACTGCTGTTTTACTTTAAAGCCAATGTTATTTATGTGATACTATCAGCACCTCCACTCAGGATTTTGCCCATAAAGCATAACCTGAATTGTGCCTTTGCCCTTCCTCTCCCTAAAGGTGCCAAAAAGCTTAAAAAGTTCAATCAAAATAACCATTTCTGCTCTCTGGAAAGGTAGCAGCTGACAGTAATTGGATAATACAGCCTGACTCATTTATTAAAAAGAGATTCAGAGTCAATTGATTTAATAACCATTACAATATTCCATTAAGGATATAATAGGCTAGTACAGCCCTATTTTTTAATTAAGAATTATAGATGGGATCTTCGAATCAAACTTCTAGATTTTTCTTTTCCTTTTTGCTTATCTATAGTCACCAGATTTTCTACAATGAGCACAATTTGCCTTTGTAGGTAACTTTGAAATTAAAAGAGAGAAAAAACAACCCTACCTTTTCTATACCCTATTAATAAAGATTGACTACAACACTGAAATTTTGCTAGCTAAAAAGTTAGATAGGAAATGAGCAATATTATAAGCACAGAAAAACTCCAGTTTTGCACAATTAAACTTAAAAGTATTCTAGCCGAATATGTGCAAAAACAAAAATTAGCATAAGGAAAGGGAGAAAGAACTATCAGAATGCAACTTAGCTATATAAGCAAACATGGGTGCTTTCACTGTAAGCCCGTGTCTTCCCAGAACACACAGAATGCCCCTCTCTGCTGGATCGTGAGGGAGGTGCATGTGCCTAGCAGTGGGGGTCCAATGTCAGAGTGGGGCCGTTACCATTGCGAACATGCTGGAAGCCAGCAACATCCTGTCTTGGTCACCCCCTGCAAGGCATGACCAGAGCTGCTCTGAGCATAACTGTGAAATCATTTCCCATGTATAGAAATTTCAGCTAAAATAATTATTTCCATTTGTTAATCTTCATTTAACTGTGAACATAAATGTAAACAGGAATCAAGTCTACCTAAAAGAGACTGATGCTAATGTAAATATTTATTGCAATATTAAATGTTTCAAAGAAAAGCATCTGCATACATAATTGGAGTACCACCTCACTGACTTAGTAGGAAACGTGATAATCACTTACAAAATTCTGTACTCTAAGAAAACCATCTGCTTGTCTGAAGCCAGTTCAAAGGAGAATGACAACTTCTATGCCTCCAATTCATAAAACCTGGACCTACATAACTATTTATTAGCCTGTTTTATAACAGAAGAAATATTAGTTACCATTTGGATGCTCAAGCACAGTTTAAGTTATGAGCTCCAATGTGGCAATTGTTAGTTTAACACAAGACACTGACATTTCAATATAAGCTTTAAACAAGAGAAACCCTTTAAGCAGCCTCCAGACTGTGTGTCCCATGTTTATACTCCTTTTCCTTCAATAAAAACAGAAATCTAGAGTGGCTACAAGCAAATGTTCGGTGGTTGACTTACATGCAGCTGTTATCCCAGGAATCACTGGGGGCCCCCTTACATCATCTGATCAACACTACAGCCATTACTGAGGACCAATTTGTAACAGTTTATAAGTAGAATTCCTTCTCCCTTTTACCCTCGAGACTGGCCAGAAGGGTC